TCTATGAGTTAAGCACAAATGAATCATAAACTTATGGATTGAATTCACCTTGAGATACACAAGGGTTTAAAAATTAAAGGAAATATGCTTGGTAAAGTATGTTTGAGAAATGTTATAAAATATATTTCAGAATGTTTGAAAAATAGCTGGAGGTATTTTACAAATTCCAAATGAAGCTTGATTCACCCATCTCTAATTACAACACTAATTACTAACACTATAGTTTAGGATTTATGTTATGGAATACAGTAGTCATACCATGATTAGTTATTTGTTGAAAGAAGTTATTTAAGATGTGCTGATTGAAAGCATTTTGAACGTTCAGAGCTAAAGTCAGCTCTGGGGTAGTTCTTCAAATACAGACACTGAAGCCAGGGCAAGTACACGGGGCTGCTCTCCTGGTAACTCATGGCGACCATACGTACAGCTGAGGACTTTGGAGCTGCCGCCCTCTATGCAGAACACGGTCAGGAATCTTATTAGTAAAAATAAACGACTGAGCTCTATACCACTTAAGCTGGTGATTTAAATATGATTCATGGAAACTCTTAGAATGATCAGTTCATTTCATAAAACCGGCCCTGAAATAGAAATAGCTGTATATTTACACTCTGATATAACGTAGGGCAACAATATTCCCAAAGTCATGTTAATCCCACAACACAAGCCATTATTTTTTCCAATTATTATAAACATAAATACTGTAACAGAATATATCACTGTAGTCTGCCCAAAAGTCTCCTGGTAAAAAAAAAGTTACAGGAAAGGGATGGTAAAACGGTGATTAATAACCTCAGAAAAATGGGTGAATGTTAACATATTTATTTCAAGAATTGAGTACTTTTGCATTTAACATTGTTGAAAGTAACCTTGGAATATGGCAAAGGACTAGGCTCTGGAACTAGACTGACTTAGGTTCCATTTTTTCTTCTACTTCTTAGGAGCCAAATGACTAGAGCAAATCACTCTATAAGCCTCAGTTTCTTCTTCTGCAACAAGAGAATAATAGTAAATACATCTTAGAACTAATGTGTGGATTTAATAAAGCAATAAAAGTACAGTAACTTGCATACAGTAAACATTATAAATGTTAGCGCCAGTCCTATGATGTTAATTTATCTGATACTTCTTATTCTTAACTATCATCAACTTAGGTGAACAGGCTGTATTGGCACCATGCCGCAGAGGCTTTAAGGTCCTTAATAAATGTTCCCCTGTCTAGCTTGCTTTCATTATACCTTACCTGCAGCATTTGTTAAGATCAGAAATAGATATAAGTCCTATTTCCCAGTTCAGAATGTGATCTTGAACACAGATATTAAAATCTCCCTGGGCACAGTTCCTTTACCTGTGACACGAGGGGACTGGACCAAGTCATTTGCTCCCAGGTTTGGGTCTGCTGGGCCGGGAGCATCTGACCGTGGTGATACCCAGGCAGGCAGGGAGGAAAGCACGGTGCACCAGTCTCCTGAATCTGAGCCTGGGTTGATGCGATCAGCCAGGTGAGACTTGAGCCCACCCTGCCTTTCCACCCATCCATTTGCAAGGAAGCAGCTGCTGCTGGCCAGGCAACGCTTCTATCTTCCCTCGCCGTTTCCACCTGAACTCCTGGTTCTGGGCAGGCCCCCTAGCGATCCAGTGTGCTCTGCCATGAGCCATCTCAAGGCGGCACTGGCCATACACCTGGAGAAGGTAGGAAGGACTGAAGGGAAGGCCCTAGCCACATATGTGTCCTACTTTTGTCCTTAATTAATTTTGTACCTCATTCTTTTTCTTCATATCCTTTAAGAGATCAAAACCTCAATGGTGACAGGAAGAAAAGAAGTGGAGCCACGGAATTAAATTGTTGCTAGGTGCCTTCCAGCTATAAATATTATACAACTACATGACAAAATAATGATGCATAAATATCTACTTCACACTTGGTCTACCTGGAACACTCTGGGAACTAAAGATAAAGCTAGAAAGGGCACAGACGGCCTAGATAAATGACACAAACACGAACACTCAAAGAACAGACCTCCCTATCACTCCTCATCCCCAAATGGCTGGACTCCTAATTTACCCGCAATTCTAACACGCCTAACAACTGTTTCTTTTCATTAGGTTCACTGAAGACTGCAGGCCGGAAATTGGAAGAGAAATAAAGGTTGACAGCCTGATAACAGAAGAGTAAAAATGCTACAGAAGCAAACACCAGAACTCAAAGACCACTGAGTGACAGGCAGAAAAGCCCTGCTGTCCCTCCACTAGCTGCTGAGGGTAGCACATCACAAGAACTCTGAATGACAAAGAAAAGGTTACATTCAAATTCTCTACTTTACAAAGTCAGAGAACAAGTGTGATATCTTTTAGAAAGGTTTCAGTAAAAACCAATTAAAAATAGATAAGCATATGAAAAGATGTTCAACATCATGTCATTAGAGAACTGAAAATTAAAACAGCAATGAGAACCCACGACACACCTATCAGCATGGCACGATCGGAACCCTGACAACACCAAACGCCGGCGATGACGTGCAGCAACGGGGACGCCCACTCATCGCTGGTGGGAATGCAAATGGTGCAGCCACTCAAAGGCAGTCTGGCAGTTTCTCAAAAGACTAAACATACCCTTACCATACATTCCACCAACAGTACTCTTAGGTACTTACTCAAATGAGTTGAAAACTTATGTCCAAACAAAACCCTGCACCGGAATGTTTACAGCAGTTTTATTCATAAATGCTAAAACCTGGAAGCAACCAGGATGCCCTTCAGTAGGTGATGGATCAACAAACTGGCACATCCATGTACTGGAGTATATTCCATGATGAAAAGAACTATCGAGCCACAAAAAGACAAGGAGGAACCCTAAATGCATATGGCTAAGTGAAAGAAGCCTGTCTAAAAAGGGTACATACTGCATGATTGCAGCTATATGACATTCTGGAAAAGGCAAACTGTGGAGACAGTAGAAAGATCAGTGGGTGCCAGGGGTTAAGAGGAGGGGCAAAGATGAACAGGCAGAGCAGGGAGGATTTTAGGTCAGTGAAACAATTCAGTATGACACTGTAATGGTGGATATATGACATTATGCTTTTGTCAAAACCCAATGAACTGTAATATAAACTATGAACTTTAGTAATAATCAATACTGACCCAACTAAAACAAGCAAATCACACTAAAGCGAGATACTGATAAAAGGGGAAATGGCGGGGGGAGGGGAGGGGGAGAAGTATATGAGAACTCTCCTCATATACAGGTTAATTTTTCTGTAAACATAACATTGCTCAAAAAATAAAGCCTGTGAACTAAAAAAAAATAGTTTTGGAGAATTCATAACATAAGACACAGTCATGTGGTGCAGATGTAGAGAATGGACTTGAGGACATGGGGAGGGGGAAGGGTAAGCTGGGACGAAGTGAGAGAGTGGCATTGACATATATACACTACCAAACATAAAATAGATAGCTAGTGGGAATCAGTCGCATAGCACAGGGAGATCAGCTCGGTGCTTTGTGACCACCTAGAGGGGTGGGATAGGGAGGGTGGGAGGGAGACGCAAGAGGGAGGAGATATGGGGATATTTGTATATGTATAGCTGATTCACTTTGTTATAAAGCAGAAACTAACACGCCATTGTAAAGCAATTATACTCCAATAGAGATGTTTAAAAAGAAAAATGGAAACAGGAAAGAAAAAAAAAAAAGACACCGTCATGTGGAAAATTCACCTTATGGAACATCCACTTTGCAATGGTGCTACACAAATACGTGTATTTGTTAAACCAGTTAGAATTAATTGAAAAGCCATTCTTATCTTAGCCACATCAACCTTGAAACTATTAGCATAATGCACGGCAAACACAAAATGTCAGGTTCACAATATGTGATTTTATAAGAACTGAAACTCCGGAAAAAGTCATCCCTTACTAGTGAGGGATTTGTTACTCCCACTGGTGGCAATAAGTGGACCAGCGACTGTAGATCAAATATGAACCACAAAGAAAACACCGACAGGCCACACTCTAGAAATTTATTACCAAACTACAACCTATGCACAGACACAGCTAAGCTCATGAAGCTAGTGATGTAGCCGCACAAAATGTAAGGAAAAGCACATTTAATAAATACAATTTGGAAACGTCTTTTTCTTTAAATTAGGTTCAAAATACTGGGAGACAGACACTGAAACAAAAATCTTAACAAAACACTTACAGCACATAGCGATCTCGCTGGACACTGTGTCTGCACAATGTTAACCGAAGGCGACGCCTGCTGCCCTGCTGCCGTGTGAACAGACATGTCACGTGTCCACCTCGGTGTGTTTCCATGGAGTACTTAGGTCCTTGTACAGGAACGGTTAGGTCCCGAGACTTTTAATGCTGTCACATGAGTTTGTATTTATGAAGCTATGAGAGAACGGGAGGTGTGTTGTGTTTGAAACCACTCCTTGACATGAGGAACATCGAGTGATGAAGCTGTCCCAGCAAAGAGGGGAAGACTCACCCAGACATTCTGTAGAGGCTTCACTTGGAATATATGGCTTTCCCAGAGGAAGAACAACAAATATTTTCAAGTGAAATTTCAGTGTTAAAAAAAGTGAGTGAGAGAGGAGAGAGAAGGAAGCGCTTAGACGAACACATAGGTAGAGTGGAGATGACGAACTGAATTTCAATATGGTTTCAATTCATTCGCACCTAAAACTAAGCCTGTTTGACTGAGGTAGACTCTGGAAATAACACGTGCAAAGACTCAGGTTTTCCAAAGGGCAATATTTAGTCATTTCAGAGGTTGTAAAACAAAAGTGCATTTTATGATTTTGAACATAAAATAAAATGGGAGTCCTTTCATAGGAGGAAAACCTCCACATTAATTCCCTACCAAATTTCCACATGTACAGAAACCTACACACTGCTGGCGACAAAGCAGAATCTAGGTTATTTCTATACATATAAAATAAAATCAATCAACAAAGGAGAAAGGTAAAATAAAAAGAATAAATTTGATGACGTTACCTTAATATTTTTCCTGTTTTTATTAACAAGTCATCTGGAAATTGAGAAATATTCCTAAAGTTAAAGAGTTGTCCGGAGCCAAAAAACCTAATAAAAATTCAAAGAATTATTGTTAATTTGTGAATGTTTAAAAACATATGTGTTATCTTAGGGACTTTATTTTTAAATATTCATATAGTTTTCACAAGAGAATACAATATTAAAAGCAAACGTCCTAAAAAATCAAATAAATAAGTACGAAAAGCCTAACTTAAAGGTATAAATAAGTAAACACAGTAATTATTACAGTTTTTAGCTTTTTCTGCAAAAAAAAAAAAATTAGCGGAGATAAGAATAAAACATTTGGGGTTTAAATATTTGTATTCCCCTAACACGCCCTCCAACTATAATTCCTACCCTTTTCTATTGTGACAGATTCTTAGATTCACATAAATATTATGTACATTGGGCTTCCCTGGTGGCGCAGTGGTTGAGAGTCCGCCTGCCTATGCAGGGGATACGGGTTCGTGCCCCGGTCCGGGAAGATCTCACATGCTGCGGAGCGGCTGGGCCCGTGAGCCATGGCCGCTGAGCCTGTGCGTCCGGAGCCTGTGCTCCGCAACGGGAGAGGCCACAGCAGTGAGAGGCCCGCGTACGGCAAAAAAAAAAAAAAAAAAAAAATTATGTACATCACAAATTAAGTGGTATGTACAAACTACTATATAATCAAAACCATTATGGAACAGAAGATACAAAACAAATGTTAAAAGAAGGATTACTATTGTTTCTTCATATGGTTAAAGTGGCCCTTTCTTGGAAAAGGCCAACAATTATCCTTAACGTTTTATGCCTATCACACAGGAAACACCCTGAGGTGACTTATCATGCACAAGAGAAAAGGAGGAGTGGGAATCTACTATTATGCCAAAAGAGTCAATAATCAAGACAACACAGAAGGAGCCAAAGCCCACATGCCAAGCAATACCTGCCTCATCCTTCACTTTGCCTCAAGGTTGCTAGGGTAAGGAAAGTGAAACAGAACCGCGTCAGCTGGTCTGTGATTCTCATCATGGATACGGCAGTGTAGACAGAAACTTCCAAGGAGGGGATTCAAACAAACTCAAGGTGTTCGAAACCTACAGTACCAACACTTTCTGTTCAGAAGAGTCAGGCTGCATGTAGCAAAGTGAAAGAGTGACACTTATACTGAAAATCTGGGCTGTGTACACACATTTTTCCTGATGTACATGTATGTTTTTTTACGGCAGATTCACCAGACACTTGCTTGCTCACTTTTTGAGTAATTAGTGATTTCAGCCTATGTTTGGACAGTCAAATATCACATCATAAAAACTGCAGTCTCTGGAGCCCAAACGAAACCCCCAGTTAGGCAGCTAGACCACAACATGTTACCTCTTCTAAGCTGTCTTGGCATTTTGGGAGGTAGAGGTCCAAGCCCAAAGTGTGTCTGGTCGTTCTGGAATGCCCACACTGCTGCTGACTGAAGATAGCCATCGTCTATTTTCTACATGGATTACTAGAAGGTTTCGGCCTCCATTAGAGAGCCATTTGTCTGGCACATTCAATTAATATTCATTTCCTTTTAAAAGTAAAGGAATTGTGCAAGCAAAGTGTTTGCAGTAAACATGTAACACGCTTACATGTTTGCCATAATTGCATGTGTATGTGTTTACAATAAACATGTAGCTTGGGAAATGACAAAAATTGTTCATGAAAATAGCCAAGATCTATAGTAGTCCTGTCGTTCAAGCAAATGGATACCACTTCTAATTTTAAAGCAAATTTAAAGAGAGAAAAACGTTTATATGTTATCTTTCCAAAGCAACTCGCAGGTTACTGTGCCTTCCATTTATAAACTGAAATCGTTTCATTAGTGAGAGCCAGAAGCTACACGGTGTAATTACAGGAAGTGCCCAGTCGGTACTGCACTGCCTGGTCCAACTCTGTGGCCACAGAGCGCCCACCCAAGGGACAGGCACACAGCAGGCAACCAACATGAGCCTACTAAGATGGAGGATTATCTGATCAGATAACTGCGAGACAGAAGTGTAGAAAACTTAGTCCCGACATCACTGTGCTGAAGAACCCCAAACACTCAGGTTTTCAGAGGAATTAAAGGAACCAAATCTTTCTAATTTGATAATACAACAGAAAAAATAAAATAAAACACAAAAGTGCTCTCATTCTGGGTAAGGCAACACAGTCTTGCAATAAAGACAATGCACATACCATGTGCAGGAAAGGTCGGACAGAACGCCCTAGGGATCTCCTCAGGATCCTTTAAGGGGTTAATACACACAAAGCATTCACCATCCATTGACAGAGCAAAGTGAGAAACAAGGGAAATAAAAAACACACCGGACTGACTTAACACAGTAAAGATAAGCTCCTAGGAGGCTTGAGTCTCCAAGTACTGCTCAACTGATAGTTTTTTAAAAATCAAAATTACGACGTTATTATGCATGAAGAATTCAGAAAAAAATTGAAATGTAAGCCAAGACAAATACATGAAATCTAGCAAAATGGTCTGACTAAACTATGCAAACAAGTTTTGGCAATCAAAACACTAAGGTTTTAATGACTGCCCCTAGGACTTCGGGAAAAAAATAACTTACTGGATGGCAATAGTCTGCAAGATTATCTTAGTGGGATTATTTATTTCTTTATTTTAAAATTTCATGAATAAAAGGAAAGTTCTCTCATTTCAACTTTTAAGATGAACTAAATCAATTAAAATAAAATCATGATATCTCATGATTTTAACTCTTATAAATCTATGCCTCAGAGGAAAGGGGGGTAATTTAAAGCATTAGATGAATACTGTGGTATATGGTTCTAAGTAGGGGGAAGAAATCTCTCAAGGAAGCTGCTAAGAGTTTAACTGTCAAAAAAGCTATATGTTATTTCTGGTTTTAAACTAGTAGTTGCTGTCCAAAATTGAAAATTCAGGATATCATCAAATACAAATTTTTTAGAGCTTGACTATTAAAGCAGAGGTTGCCCAATCAAAACAGGATAAATGTAATTTTTTTTTTTTGAAATTAACACTAGGAAAAAAAAAAATTAACACTAGGCTACTCTACTTGTGACTAGATACATGGCCTCTCCTTTTCTGGCCTCCTTCTACGGTCTAATTCCTGCTGAAAAGAATGGGCATATCATATTTCTAACCTAATCTTAGCGTGCGTACAAGCACTCAACCTAGACAAGGAATGATTCTTAAATGTTCGCTGCTCATTATGCACGATATTATTTTGTTAATAAACAAGCTGTCTCGAAAGCCATCAAGATTTTGCTGTGTTTGTTTTGCATTAGCCACAAGAGAGTGGACTTGTTTAGAATACCAAAGCATTTATTTAGAATATGAAAGGCAGATTCAGCAAAAAACAATGTTTGAGCTGAGAAAAATCAAGGGTTTATCTGTTGAACATATTGAAAGAAAAGTGAAAACAAACTCAGAAGTCTAGAATGAAAAAGAGCATCTTATGCAAGCATGATGTTCTTTCCACCCTTCCAATGTAAAATACGGCCAGCAAAACAAATACTGAAAACCAGAGAAGCCACTTGGCAAAAGGATTCAAAAACCACAAAGCGTGAGGCTATTCCCCCATAAAGCTCAATAAGCGATTAAATAGCTAGTAGAGGGAATGGTGAGGGAAGGGAAGGGAAAATTCAAACTATATAATAGACTCTAACAGTAGCAGGTGAATTCTAAAGGTTTAACTAGCAGATTCATTATTTAATCCAAAACCATAATTCTTAACAACAAATAACAGATCTGACACAAACCCAGTTTTGATGTTAAAAGCCAACAGATATAGGTCCCTCATGTTCAGAGCAAAGAATAGAAAAAACTAAAAAACAATGAACACTAGTGAGAAACAGAGCTCCCTCTACATTTTCTGTAAACAAGTTTCTACGATAGCACACTGGTTGCTTTCTTCAGCCCCCAATACTCTGGTTAGGGTGTGCAACTATAATGCATGGATATGTGGATATCAGGCTCTCTATGTAAGCTTTTCTTACTTCTCAAGTATATGTATGTTCTTTTGTGTTTTAAATTTTTCCTTTAAGAGAAAATCTCTCCAATGTAAAGTTCCAAACCTGTTTTTTTAAAAAATTGCTGGAATTTCTTCACATTTTATAAACAAAAATACCAGAAATGAAAGAGCTGACAGAAATTCAAGCAGATCCAAATTCAACCATCCACTTTTCGTATTTCTCCAAGTCTGCAGCAGACACAGACTTAGCAATTTTCTTAAGAGCCAATTCAAAGTCTCCTTTGGTAACAGGCATCTGAAGTTCCTCTTTAGAAAGTGCACGGATCTCTTCTGGACTTAGGCCATTGATTCGTCGTCTCATTGCCATTAAAGAGGCATCCCTAAAAATATACCAAAATCAGTGAATACTTATTGTTGCAAATGTTTTAAACATATTCAATTGTGATAATGTTAAGGGAAAACATTCAAAAGATCATTTTATATGTTTTTACCATGCTGCTCAGAATTTTCCACTTCAGAGACATCCTGAGGGCTCAGGAAAGGTTAAAACAAGATGCAAAGGACTTAAACATAAAAAGTACTGTAATGAATCCTAAAAGTCTAGGTTGGGCTCAGATGGTACTGAATTTTCTTTTCCCCACTTGCTCCTCAAAGACAGCCCAGAAGTCTAGGAAACTGAAGGAGAATTATGAAATACTGAATTGCATACTTGGAAATAAACATACAGCTAATGTTAACATAACTCAAATCTTATACCAGTTTGTCTGCAACCTAATTAGAGGAGGTAAAGCCAGGAACCTCTCTCTCTCTGGAGCATGAATATATCTGAATACAGTGGATGTGGAATTCCCTACATGGAATATTTGTGGGCAAGTGAAGAGAGAAAATCTGCCTTCTCTGGATCCTATTTTCAGCTTATTCTGATCACTTGTAAATAATTACGCAGGTTAGGAAGAAGTGTACAACTAGTGCTCACGAAAAAGCTATTAGGCAGCCAAGCCAACCAAAACTTCAAATTTTTATACATTTTTCTATGGTAACAGTAGAAGCTATTGTGAGCTTACTGAGTGCCACTAAACTTACACGCGAATAGGACAAATACTCGTAGAAAAAATGAGTAACACAGATGTTATGGTTTTAAGGAAAGGCTACTGATGTCAATTTAAGTATTGTTAGGGAAGTTAAGTACTAAAAACAAATCCTCTTCACTGAGTGATGTGAATTGTCTAAAAGTTATGATGTCACTAAACTGAAAGGGAAATTTTTTTATATATATACATATAAAATTGATCACCTTTGTTCATCTGTGTGTAGTAAAATAATGCCAACCAAAACAAAATGATATTATTTTATGTTGGTGCAGCTAGTCTCCAATTTAGGGCTAAATTAACCTTAGGTTGTCAAAGCCATTTATGACCAAGTTGGGCAAAACAATTTCTTAAAAATCAAAGGCTCTAAAAGGTGAACTACAGTTGACCCTTGAACAACACGGGGGTTAGGGGTGCAGACCCTTGGCACAGTTGAAAATCCGGGAATAACTTATAGTCAGCCCTCTGAACGAGCGATTCCTCCTTATCCACAGTTCCAGATTCAACCAACCACAGATCCTGTAGTACTACAGGATATATTTAGTGAAAAAAATCCACACAGCTCAAACCTGCATCGTTCAAGGGTCAACTGCACACTGACTTTAAGACAAGTCCTCCTGATAAATCCATAACTAATGTCTAACGTCACGGACCATTAACAACAACAAAAAATACCTGCAAACATTAGTTATATCAGCACCAGAATAGCCCTCAATCTTCTCTGCTATATCTTCCAGTTGAATATCAGGATCCAATTCAACCTCACGAAGATTGATTTTCAGAAGCTCAGTTCTTCCTTTTGCTGTTAGAAGATTTTATTTGTTGTTATTATTAGATGTTTTACTTTACAAATCATTTTGATAAGAAATCACCTATTTAACATTCAGGAAAAGAAAGAGTCTAATGCAAAGAAAAGTCAACAACTGTGAGTCCACTAATATTACTAATTCACTGCATGACTAGTGGAATCATTTAACTTCCTGTGTGCCTTGGCTGTAATAACTAATAATTGAAACAAAACTCAGAGTTTTCCTAATAGATTGTGAAGATATTTGCTATGAGAACAAAGGGTCTGAGATCCTTTATGAAAAATAAAAACATTAGTATTCAAGCACCAGAAATGCTTTTGTAAAAAAAATATTTAGCCTAGCTTTATGAAACTAGATTGCATGGAGTGTAACTCCTATGAGTTACTTTGCTCACCTTTTAGTATGACATAGGAAAAGATTTCCAGAACTCTAATCAGTATTTTTTAAAAATCCAGTTTTCTTTTCCTAGCAATCAGCAATTGGCACAAAACGCTTATTAATATATTTTTTACTTGGAGAGCCGGCCCACAGACATTTGCTGTTCCAATATGATTGAAATGTGTATCGAGTAAGCTGAAACAGACAGAATTTTTTAATAACCAATCTTGCTTGCTGTTTCACCATCAGTTTTTGTGACAAATCTGTTTAATATAGCACACTAAGGTAATGCAGAATTAGCCTGGATCCGGCTCTCTACGATTTCCTGATATACAAAACGAAATTTAATTTTCCCTATTTTTATCTTGAAAAATTTTAAATCTTCAGGTAAAAAAAAAAAAAATAGTCAACACTCATTTACCTTTTCTCTAGATTCACCAATTGTCAACATTTTGCCATTATCACTCCCTTGCCCTCTCCTCTCATCCCCACTCTCATTTATGAACTGAGAGCTAGCTATAGGCAACACAACACTTTACCTTGAATTCTTCAGCATGTATCTCCTAAGAACAAAGGCATCCACACAACCATCACACTTAACAGGAAATTTAACATTGGTGCATTGGTCTCATCTAATACACAGTCCAGATTAAAATGTCCGCATTTGTCCCGGGCCTTTATTACTTTCTTAAAAACCATTACACGTTACATTAAAGTTATTGTCTCTCTTTAGTCTTCTTCAAACAGTTCCCCAGTGTTACTTTGTTTTGTCTTTCATGACATTGACAATTCCCCCCCAAATGATCTTACAGAGTTAAGGCATTCCAATGAAGACCCCAACAGGTCTGTTTGTGGAACCTGACAGGCAGATATGAAAATGTTAATGGAAGGAACCAAGAATAACCAAGACACTCTGGAAGAACAATAGCAAGGCAGGAGGAACTGCTCTACTACAAAGCAATAGGATTCAAATCTGTCTAACACTCTTGCAGAGGGAGACAAGCAGATCCGTGACACAGAATGGAGAGCCTAGGAGCAGAGCAGAGCAGAGCATATGCTATGGACACCTGATTTGTGACACAGGTGGTTCGGGGCAGTAGGAGAAAGGAGGGTCTTTTCGATAAACGATGCCAGAACTGACTACTCACAGAGAAAAAATGGGACTGGGTCATCCTCACCATACATAAAAGTCAGTGCCGGATATATTACTGATCTAAACATAAGATGCAAAATTATAAGCATTTTAGAAGATAAAACAGGAATCTATCTTAATGACCTCACAGTAAATATTCTTAAGATACATTAAAAAAATCGACTACATGGAAAAAGACGGATAAACTGACCCCATTAAAATTAGGAATGCCTATTCATCAAAAGACACTGTAAAACAGTGAAAACACACAATCTACAGAGTTTGAGAAAATATTTACACCAGATTTAACAAAAAACTTATATCTAGAATATTTAAGGACTTCCTACAAATCAATAAGAAAATGTCAGACCACCTAATAGAAAAATGGACAAAAAAACTTGAACAAATATATCACAAAATCAAAATGGCCAATCAATAAAGGAAAAGATGTTCAAATTCTTTACTAATATAGGAAATACAAATTAAACCGCAATAAGCACTGCACACCGAAAGACTGGTACACATTTAAAAGTCTCACAACACCAAGTGATGGAAAATTGTGAAACAATGGGAACTCTCACACATTGCTGGCTGGGAGGAGTGTAAACTGAAGCAACTGCTCTGGAAGACAGCCTGGATTTATCCACTGATGTTTCAGCTGTGCAACATGACCTAGCAATTCACTCCTAGGATGGAATGCTCCATCCTGGCCTAAAGAAACTTAGGCACTTGCACCATTATACATGCAGAAGAATGTTCATAGCAGTATAAAAGCCTAAAACTGGAAATAATCATAACGTCCCTCAAAAAATATGATGGATAATTGTGGCATAATCACATAATGGATGTTATGGGCTGAACTGTGTCCCCTGCTAAATTCTTATGTTGAAGCTCTAACCTCTGATACCTCAGAATGTGACTGTATTTGGAGACAGGACCTTTAAAAAGGTAATTAAGGTAAAATGAGTCGGATGGGTGGGCCCTAATCCAATATGACCTAATCCAATATGTATCTTTACAAGAAGACTAGGACACAGAGACACACAACATGAGGAAAGACCACATGAGGACATTAAAAGAAAATGGCCACCTACAAGCTAAGGAAAGAGGCCCTAGAAGGAAACCAATCCTGCCAACACCTTCATCTTGGACCCGTAGCCTACAGAACTGTGATAAAATAAGGTTCCCTTGTTTAAGTCACCCAGTCTGTGGGCGTACTGTGTTATGGCAGCCCTAGCAAACTAATACAATGCAACAGCACACCGCCACAAACACAAGCTGCCTCTACGCGTCACAACATGGATGAATCTTAAAAACACACTGACCAAAATATGCAAGCTACAAATGAACACAATTAATGTGATTCATTTATGTAAAGTTTAAAAGGAGGTAAAACTGTGTGTGGGGATACATTACTAGGTGATAAAATTGTAAGGAAAAACAATAAATTATTTCCCTAGAAGCAGTGACAGTGATTACCAGCAGGAACTGGAAGGGAGTTGTGCCGGGAAGGAACATACTGCGGAGCGCGGAGGCTTGACACTGCTCCACTTCCTGTCCCAGCAGGTGCTTCGACAGTTGTTTGCTTTGCCAATTATTGGATAAATTGGACATTTTAACAGATTTTTTTGTATTTGAGTTATATTTCACTCACACTCACACACACACACACACACACACACACACACACACACACACGCTTGAAGTAAGATGGAGCAAAGCAACACAAAGAGCAGCCAGGGTGAAAAGAGAAGCAGCAAGCAGGCAGGATCTGCGTGTGACTAGAAAATTGTGACCTCCAGAATCCCTTCACCTCGGGAGCTCCTATCCTTGACCATCTTCAGCCACAGGCACCCCCCTGCAGTGAGCATGGGTACCCACAGGTGGTGCGGGCCCAGGAAGTCCTCCGCTTAGGTGGTCAGCCAGAGGGGCGTGGGAAGAAAGACGGGGAAGGGAGGGAGCTCACAGGGCCACTGCTGCACGAGGCGCTCGTGCTCCGGATGCCACAGGGAAAGCTCCAAGTTCAGCCCAAGAGCTCCACACACAGCAGGTGGATGTTAGTGAACGAACATCACTTTGCTCTTTCAGTTCCCATGTTAGAACACCACTGTATTTGCAAATCAAAACGTTTTACCGTGGCCTGCCCAAAGAACTTAAAGCATCAAGTTTAATATAACGCATTCGCCCCCAGAAGCAAAGTTCTTTTTTTTTTTTTGCGGTACGTGGGCCTCTCACTGTTGTGGCCTCTCCCATTGCGGAGCACAGGCTCTGGACATGCAGGCTCAGTGGCCATGGCTCACGGGCCCAGCTGCTCCGCGGCACGCGGGATCCCCCCGGACCGGGGCACGAACCCGTGTCCCCTGCATCGGCAGTCGGACTCCCAACCACTGCGCCACCAGGGAAGCCCGAAGCAAAGTTCTTGACAGTCGACTGAAATGAACTCTGGAGCATAAGGCTGCTCATAAGTGAGGGCTGGTGGGACTGAAGCTTAGTAGGAAGCATCCTCCTCTTCCCTAGTAACTATGATTTGGAAAAGATAACTTTTAATACTGGTTGTATCAATGATTTGTCAGAAGATTCTAAGCAGGATTTATCATCTCTATAAAACTGAATTAATGATATGTAATAAGCTTGTGAAAGGATTTAATGAGGGGTTAATGTGTTAACAACAGTATAAAGAACTGCCAATGCTACATAACCAAGTTAATACACATTTGAAATTTAAATAAACACTGTTAGATGGATCACACAACTTCTTCTTGAGTACTGGAGGCAGTCCAGCACGACTGATAAGGAGTGTGTGCTGTGGGGCCAGATGGCCGGGGCGCACATCCCTGCTCTGCCGCACCGGGCAGGATACCTAACTGCTCGGGGCCTCGGTTTCTCATAAGTAAAGATAAGAACAGAATCTACCTCACAAGCCTGATGTGAGGGTTAAATGAGCTAATACACGTAAAGCCCAGTCCACAGGCAGCGCTCAGTAAATGGCAGTCGCCCCATCACGCACACCACCTTCAGTCAATCAACAAACAGGATTAGCGGGAGACAGAGAAAAGCCAGATCCCTTCTATTAAGGACCACCTGGGGGTTAGACAGCACAGAGGAAATACCAGGGGAGTGAAGTCCACACAGGGAGAGAGACCACGGCAAAGAAGACTTCATAGAATTGGTATGCTTTCATGTCGACTTTGAAAAATCAATAAAATTTAAATACAAAGGAAGAGGGAGAACAATCTGGGAAATGAGAGCACCATAAATTATGACATGGAAGCAGGAAGAAGCACGAATGAAAAAAAAGGTAAGTAGAAAAGTACAACACAGTATTAAGAAATGCAAATAGACACAAATAGGATAGATAAGGTATGAACTTACAGTTTAAAAAAAAAGTACTCTGACCCTGATGGGATAGGAAATAAGAATCACTCAGAGTCTAAGAGACTCTGTGATGCCTTGGTGGTGTAGGGAGGTTAGCCTAAAAGCCAA